TTCCACATCAGTAGGGATAAATTACGTATCCTTCGGTGGTTAATGTTTGAGAGCACCAAACAACACAGATGGTGACACGTTTTTTACCGCGTTTGTACCTTTATTAGTCTTTATGCCATTTGGGATCCTCAACCATGAATCAGCAAAGCATCTGTAATTTCAGCAAGAGGCCAAGAATCAAAGATGCTATGCTGTATTTAAGGAGAAATTAATTCACATCTATTAATTAACAATTAAGTTTCTCTTTGCTTCACAGATCATCGTTTTTTTTATATTCAGATGACTAAAAATATGAACGTAGTGGTGAAATCCCTGGAATCCGCCTTGAGCGACATGAACCTTGAAAAAGTTTCGAAAATAATGGATAAGTTTGAAAAGGAGTTTCAGGACTTGGATGTCCACACGGCGGTAAGTTGAATGCGATGTCTTCGGTTGAATAAATTTGCTCTCGTAGGTTCTCGAAGGTAGCATCGCCACCACGACTACCCTCAGTGCTCCTCAAGAACAGATTGATTCGTTAATTCGGCAGGTCGCCGAAGAAAATGGCCTTGACATCGCCATGCAGTTGCCGTCGGTGACACCTGCAGTTGCTGAGCGTGCGAAAGAAGAGGAAGATGTTCTGCGGAAGAGGTACTTAATCACTGTAGTTGTTTAACGACGTTGTTTTAATGATACTTTGTTTTTCTTTCCCTCTGCCGCTGTATATATACCAAGTCAGATAAACGGAGAGCATGTGGAGAAGTTAACTGTTGGTAAGGTGCTAAAATACCTCTGAGTTATCGTTTGCCTATCATTTGCGGCCAGAAGTGGTAACATAACTTTGGTTTCCCGGTTCTGTGGAATGATGTTTATTAATATTAATTAATAGTTATTGGTGTCTGTGTGGGATGTGTATGGCGAGGCTTGGTATACCGCTGCTGCTTCTCCAGACTGAGAAGTCACCGACGCATTGGGTTTGGTAAATTACGCTAATGCATCCAGAAACGAAGGCTAAACAGCTACTTCTTGCTAAAATGACCGGCGAAAGACCTTGGAAATAACCATCAATGATTTGAAACAAGTGTCTCGCAGGACTGTCCTCTAGACTCGAGTTATTTTCTGCTGAAGTTCGAACACTGGCGCGGGATCGGGATCGTTGAGTCGCTGTCCACCTCCGCGACCCAAAAATAGAAGCGATGGTCGTAGCTGACTAAATAGCTGGCTAGCCGGCTGGCTAGCTGGCTGGCTGGTCGGCTGGCTGGCTGGCTGGCTGGCTGGCTGGCTGGCTGGCTGGCT